CCAGCTAATATACATGTAGAAGAAACGCTTGCAACACTTCGATACGCTTGTCAAGCTCGAGCTATTATTAATCGCGTTCGAATTAATGAAGATCCACATGAAAAATTAATTCGGTAACAAATGCATTTTCTCATAAATCTAACTGATAATTCATATAATTCATATATCCCATTCAAAAATATTTCTTCTTAACGTGGATTATTAGTATATATAAAATTAAAAGTTCTAAAATTATAGATCTTTCACTCCGAAGAGAAAAGACAAAAGAATACCGATACAATTTTTTTAGTTTGTAATAGGCATAACCTAAAGCTTTTAATTATAAATATAATTATGATTTTTCTATTAGAGAATTAAAAGCAGAAGTGTTGCGATTACGCGGCGTACGTGAAGGATACGAAAAGCAACTTGGAATATTTCCACGTCGCCTTCTTGATTCTGTTGGATTGGTTAATCAAAGTAACGATGAAATTAAACAAAAACAAGAAGAAATTAATAAACTGAAAGATCAATTAAAGAAGACTGAAGAACAACTTGCAACTACTCAAATGTAAGTCATAAATACAAGTACTTCATAAATACAAGTAAATCAAGTATAATATCATAAGCTATTATATTTATTTTAGAAATAATCAATATAAATTGTTATATATTTTGATATCGTTTTAAAAATAAATTAGATGATCATATTATTCCAGAAATAGATCAAAGAATATTTATCAATTTAAAGATTTGAATGTTTAGTTACATGTAATTACAGGATTTGGCAAACAAAATTACGAGATACCGAGGAAAAGAAAAATTCAGAAATAAAATATTTACGTCGCTGTGGTATTGCTATTGAACTCGATTTTTATGAGAAGGATAAACAACCTTGTCTTATAAATCTCGCGGCCGATCCTATGTTATCCGGTATACTTTTGTATTTCATTCCTCCGGGATTGGTTCGCATTGGAAAAAATTCTGATTGCGAGAATTCTTCAGAAAATTTGGATATCATGTTGGACGGACCTCTGGTTAGGCCTTTACATTGGTTAGTTATTGGGTCGTTTGCAATTCGGTGGATTGAAAGATTTCTTGGTCTTGTTCATGTTTTCCATTTATATGTCATCTTTTTCTCCATTACTTCGTTTTTTTTGACTTGTTGCTCATGAATTGTGATTCAGGAAAATGTTTTACTTTGTCCATCTTTGTTTTCTTTCACTAATTGCCTCTCACCAATGCATGCTTGTCTTCTTTACGATTTAATATATTATTTAATATTATCCAAATTATTATAATTTAAAAAAAAAATATGCATGATAGTTTTCTGTGTTATTTAATCACTACTATATGGTGTTATGGTTTCCGAATGATTTCAAATTTTACATACATTATCTCATAAGTATAAAAAATTAAATATTTATATCTGACAAAAAAATACATGTATAATTGGAATTATTTATATGCTTACTTTAATAAATCTTTTTAATGATTCTCTAATTGATTTTTTATGCACTTACAGTACTATTGAAAACAATAATGGAAAACTTATATTATCTTCAGAAATGGAAGGAGATACATTTGTGAATGGACAGGTATAATATATTTTACATTTATAATTTTATTGCATTACTTTCATCAATCATAAACTATTTATTATATATAGGTCGTAACTGGCAAAGTTATTTTAAAACACGGTGATCGATTAGTAATTGGCGGTAATCATTACTTTAAAGTTTCAAATCCGAATGATAGGCATGGTAATATACAAATTTCAGCGCAAACTGTAGATTATGAATTTGCTCATCAAGAAATTCTTAAAGTGCAGGAAGAAAAGTATAAATTTATAATAATTTTTTTTATTCAATAAATATTCATTATTTAAAATTGTTATTTTTAATTCAATATAGATTAAGAGCAGAATTGGAAGAAAGTAAACAGAAAGCAATAAAAGAATTAGAAAATGCAAAACGAGAAATTGAAATGCAATTGGGAAATCAAAAATTATCATACGAACGTAAAATTGAAATTCTTGATTCTACAGTTCAAGAGCAGAAACTTGCATTAGAACAAATTCATCAAAAAAAAAAGAATTAGAATTAGAAAAAGAATTACTTGCAAATGAAATTGAAGCAAATAATAGATTAAAACAAATACAATTTGATCAAAGTAAAATTAATATTACGCCATATAAATCTAATTTCTTACAAGAATTGGAAAGTATTTTAAATGAAAAAACAGCAAATGTCGAATTCGCTCTTAAGATGAAAGCTAGTGAAGAAGCAATAAGCGATGGTGGTATTAGTTTACATGAAATGCAAATATTAGTAAGAGAAGCTACTGAACGATGTAAAGAAGTTGGTATTAATTATGTAGGTATTTATAATATTTGCATAAATAATAATTAAAAAATATAATAATTAAAATATAATAATAATAATTAAAAAATATATATTTTAATACATATAACATAATTCTATTCTATTATATTTTAGGATTTTGATCAACAGCAAACAATTGTCAATAAAAGTCTAAAACCAGTAATTCGTATACGTAACAAAGATAGCATGAAAGAAACATTCTGGCAACCAATGCGATTTTTAGATTGGGTTCATCATTTACGAGATTATGATATAGAAGATTCAATTAAAGAATTGTGTACGTCAGAAGAAACTTGGGAATTTTATGAAAATACAGAAACTTTTGAAGATTCTTTGAATAATAGTCGGATTTCAATAAATATGACTCCCATAAAGAAGCATTTAAATGAAAGTTTACAACTTTCATTAGATACATCCATACTTGGAACTACATTAAATAATCAAACATTTGATATTTCAAAAGATCAAGAAACTATAAATACATGTCTCCTCCAAATGGAACTTGCTATAAAAACTATACGTAAATTATGTAATAAAAATAGCGAAATTCAATCGATTCCGGAATCTCTTAATAATATGGAAAGTATTATTTGTAGTTTACGTGAAACTCTAGAAATAGAAAACATAAGTAAATGTACCAATGAAAATGTAATTTCTGTTCAGAATTCTAATGATAATACAATTGAAAATTCTGACATAAATTTCACAGTTTCTAGTCTCAATTGCAATATAAAATCTGTTTCACCAACAAAATCTACTTTACGTAATAATGATAAAAGTTTAGTGTGTGACAAGAAAAGTGTAAGATTTACAGATAAATTAAAAGAAGAATTAACTTAGTAAAAATAAACATTACTTAATTAAATAAGATTTCTTTTTAGAGATATATATTATTATATAAATAAACCGTAATATACTTAAAAAATATTAAAATATTAAGTGGAACATAAAAATATGTTTACTACATGACTATATTATTTTATTTTTTATTATTCATAGCTGTTATATAATGTTATTTACATATGTGTATTATATAAAATATTCTGTATGAATGTTTAATTAAATTTATGTAAGGTTTGTAAAGTTACAGTAATATTACTCAAATAAAATAATCAATTTAAATAAGCATCTTATTAAATAAAGCATATTTTATGAATATTAAATTAATAAAATATACCATATAAGTTTTATAATTAATCAAAATAATCCTCAATATCAATAGCAGGATTCAATAAGTCTTCTCCATAGATACTTAAATCTAATTGATTAAGTATTAAATTCTCGCACATTTCTTCTAAATTAGTATCTCCAATTAATATTGCTCCTTGCATTTTACCATTTTTCAATATAAGTTTTATATATTCTTCTCCTCTAGTCATTCGTAATAATACTTCATAATTATTATCCAACTTTTGTCCGTTATACAAACCAAGTAAAACTACTTTGTAACCAAAAAACTTAGTTACATGAGTGAAAAGTTCAAAACAAAAATCTTGTAGAAATTCTTCATTTTTCATTTTAGAAACCATTGATTTTGCTGCATATCGACCCATTTGATGTGCTTGAGTCCATAATCTCATTTGAAACCAATGTTTTGCTAATTCCCATCCTGCACTACATACATCTCCAGCAGCAAATATATCTTGTTTAGAAGTTTCTAACTTCCAATCTACCAATAAACCTCCATCTTTCTCCTTTTTTATATCTTCTAAACCTATTATATCAGAATTTGGAATTACACCAGTTGCTGACACAATGAAGTCACAACCAATAATTTTCCCATTTGTTAATTGAACATATATGGACCATTTTTCCATAGGATCAAATTCTTTTTGTTCTGATTTATTAAGAATTTTAATTATCTCACATTCGTATTCTATTTGAACTTTTGCAGATTTAAGATAAGTACTTTTTATATCAAAATTGTTATGCCAATCTGGACCTAAAGCTGGTCCATCTGCTACAGCTGTAATATCAGAGACAGTATATCTCATTCTTTTAGTCAGAGAACTTACATTAGCATTTACAAATGTATCATTTTTATATATTTTGTTCATGAAAAATTCTGCAGCTCCAGGATCAACAAAAGTTGCAGAAATATGTTTATCCTTAATTACCCATATCATTTCAAGACCATGTACTTCATGCACAATTTCAGTTGCAATACCTCCATTTCCAACTATTACAATTCTTTTTGAATTTTTTATTTTTTGAGAAAATTGAAAAACTGATTCTGTATCTCTTATTCCTAGTATAAAATTATTATGATTTTCTATAAGTTTTGGTCTAGCACCATTACAAAGACATAACATTTTATAATTTATAATTTTTCCACTTTTAGTTTCCACTTGTTTATTTAAACTATCTATTTTTATTACTAAATCATTAATAATTTTTAATAAATTATGTACTTTCATCAAAACTGTAGTATCTTTTTCTTCTATATCAAACTGCATTAAAGTTTTACCAAGTGGAATTACATTCGTAACTGTTTTTATTAAAGGACTTGCTGTAATTAGAATGATTTTTTCTTCTGGAACAAGAAAAGCTATGCTTTCAACACAAGATACTCCAGCAATACCACCACCTACTATTAAAAATGTACAGTTTAACTTTTCTTGATCCATTTTATATGATTTATTTCTTAAATTTTCAAATACAAATTAAAAATAATGCATTAATTTTTCCATTCTAAATAATTGTAATATCTAAAAGGAACATGATATGGAAATAAACCATATTCTCTTGATTTCATTATTGCAACAAGTAAATCTTTATAAGCCTTTTGACAAAGACAAGTATAACTGTAAATAAAAAGAATAAATATAGAATAAATAAGAATAAATTGTAAAAAAAAATAAATAATATAATTATATTAATAAGTTTAAAACTTTTATTATACTTGAATAAAGTTAAACTTACTTGTAATTTAAAATTTCTCCACTATCCTTGGAAATAAATTGTTTTAATAAATCAATATTACGATAATCAAGAACTAAATATTCATCTCTGCATATTGGACATGGATTACCAGTAGCAACTATACCACCTCTCTAAAATTTTTATACAATTATTTAAAAAATTATAAAGTATTTATGGAATTATATAAATTATATATAAACTATACATAATTTTATAAATTAAATAATAAATATTTTAAATTTTTCTTCAAAACACATACAATACAAGTTTTTCGTGTTTTCTTTGGAGGAATATGACCTTTAAAATTTCGTCTATAATATTTCCAAATAGGCTCTTCTCCGTAAGTTTGTTTATATGCTAACATAATAATAAATTAATAATGTATTAATATAATTAAAATTATAAATGTATGTAATTAAAATTACGTTAAAAAAAATTATATTATATACCACTACTTTTAAGATATTTTATACTAATTTCTACAGGAATTATTTTACTTCTATCTTTTGAAGGAGGAACTGATAAATTTGTATTATTTTCAATATTTTCTACTTCGTCATATTTTGTAAATGTAGAATGGATAAATTTCACTGATATAACCTAAAAAAAAAGTTTAGAATACTAAATCACTTTTAAAAATTCATGATTATTTCTAATTCTTACTTTTGTAATTAAATTAGTTCGAAAAAGTGAGGCAGCTAACTGTAATTTATTCAATATTAACGACATTATTTTTAATATTAATAAAATAGTTTTTTTTTTAAAATAAATCCATATATTGCGCATACGTTTGTAATATAAACTATGATTCTTGTTCAACAATTTTTGAATATAGCATGTTTATTATTTGATATTTATAAAATTATTCAATTTTAATTATTAATATTATAATAATATATTATAATAAATTTATATTATATATATTAATACTTGTTTAGTTAAATTTTATTTAATAAGATTTGATATCAGTTGTTAATATCAATTAATATAAATTTTTAAAGACTGAATTATATAAATTTTTTATAATTATAAAAATAATTTCTTTATTTGAAAAATATATATAATATATTTAATAAATTATTGTTTACTATTAAACTAATAAAAATTTTCTAATAAAGTTTTTCATTTGACTAAATATCATTTATATCTATATTGAAAATTATTCAAAAAATATATTGAATATTTTATAAGATTTATATTTTAAATATATTTTAGTAATAAATTTTAATAAAATCATATATTTTTCATATTCAATATTTATTTGTTTATAATCGTAATATGATAAATAAAACAAATTTACGCTTGACTCACTTACAGACGTAACATTTCCGGTTTGGGCGTAACATCATCTTCTACGTAGTTAGGTAAGAATAGTTTTTCTTTAGTTAAAAATAAATTTCGGGATTATTTAACAAAATGTAACAAGAAAATTGATATTTAAATTATAAAAATAATGTTTCAATAATATTTGATTACAGATGGCAGAACAGCAAGAAGATATCCACGGATTTTGGACAATCTTGTAGCATTTGCTGATGCATAGCCTATTTTCGACAGAGCATAGGGCCACATCGTTTTTGTGTATAGGAAATGTTAAATTTCTTATACACAGCTGTGATCATATATTTTCCATAAAAAGGATTTAATTAATAATCAAATGTGAGTGGCTTTTCTGTCGTTCAAAAAAGCCGAAGTATATTATATATTTTTTCAACAATTTTTGATTGGAATCGATTCTAATATTGTTTGTTCAGTAGATTACTACTATATACTATATAGTTTTACATATATTTCTTAAAGAAATATATATAATAAAAATAGAAGAAATTTAATGTAAAAATATTTAAGGCTTAAAGTAAGGTGATATAAGCAATAATGTATTAGTGATACAAGTTGGGAATGTCTGGTTTTTATAATAGAAATTGCATGCAAGCTATTTATTATATTTTAAATTTGCACGAGTGATAATTGGATATTATTAAAGCATTATTAAAAGTGTTAGTGATTGCCTATAAATAAAATAATTTTGGCAAAATTCTAGCACAAATGAACAGTCATGGTGTGCTAAAAATAACAATTATTTGGTGACGTCAGTGACATGGGGTGGGATCGCTATAATTATTGGTTGATGTTAAAGAAAATTTTAAACGTGATTGGTTGATTGTGTAACCATTCTGGGTGGGATATGCGCGTAGATATTGCGCAGTAGGAAATCCGCCAGTTGACCATCGAGTGATCGCCGTTAACCGAGGAGCTTACATTTTAGATTAATAGTTTTCCCACTTATAACTTTTATTCCTCAATTTTAATATTTAAAGTTACCTCTTCTTAGGGAATGAAAAGAAATATTGAAACTATATTGAATTCATTAAAATAGAAAAAATTTATCATAACTCTTTTAATTAATACTTGCGATTTGTGATATAAATGATTTGTATAGTATGATAAAAGGATAATGAGGATAGCAAAACAATTTAAAAATTTTATATTTGCGAACGATTATCTGTGTAAATATATTTAGGCTTAGGTAATTTTTAATGAAATTTTTATGTTCATGGATAAATAATTTAATAGCTATATTTTATGTGCGTGAAAAAATTCGACAATATGGCGGTATCGTGTACGTTTATCTTTGAAAAAGTACATCATTTCTACCCATTAAAAAAACGAATATTTCTGTGTTTTATTACAGATTTACGTCATGATCCTATGATTGTACTCCAATATGCGTTAAAAATATCATCAAAATGGTAAGTCATGTTATTTTTTAAAATTCACTTATACTTTTTCTTCGTAAATTTTTTGAGAGAGGGCGCCATATACGAGAAATTACGACAAATATAATGGAAGGGGAAAGCGGTAGGATCAATAACCTTCGTTCATATGACCTCATATCCTATTTCTGGCGTCATCAACTTTTAATGATCGTACAAAATGAGCATTTATATAGTTTTATGAAAGTTTTTATAAAACTAATGTAATATATTTGAATACTGATATTAAACAAAATGGGGAAGGTAAATGATCTTTGCGCTTTTCTTTTATATGCGATGTTATGTGATGATATTTTACTTAATATTTAAATGTTTACTTATTATTTTGACCATATTCTACTACTAATATGCAATTTATAATTATATAATAAAAATAATTCACATATAAAATAATAAATATATTAGTTTTAAAAATTGTTTTATAGTAAAGGTTAAATTTGCATAAATACTTTAATAATGTTTTTGAAATTACATATTGCAAAAATTGATAATTATATAAATTGATAATAAAAATTGAAATAAAAATTAATTTAACTTTTTACTGATATATCAGACTATCATTTTATTAAATCATTGAAAAATAGACTAATTTCAATTTGATTGAGATTCAACTTTTTTATATTATTCTACATAACCTTATTTTATATAAAAACTTGAAATATGTGATGTATTCTTGCATGTACTTTTTCAGCCACGTATAGATCCTCTATCTTTATTGAAATGTCTTAGTGTTTTATTGGGGCCAACTGGAGGTATAAAAAGTAAAGAAGAAGTTCATCGGTTGGCTAGTTTGATGACAAAATTTTCCAAAAAACTTGTTTCAAAATGCATTTATATACAAATATTGAAAACTACAAATACAGATTTACTTAGTCAGTAAGTATAAACTTTTTTCTAATTAATTATTTATTTGCATTTGAAACTTATATATTTAAAACTTATACTTCTATATATTTAACTTCTATATGTAACATATATTTAAAACTTATACTTCTATAAAGAAAAATTTGTATAATTGCATATTAAAATACATAAATATTTATATTTTATACAAAATATTTATGTAAAATTTAAAATGTATGCTAGAGTAAAAAAGGAACTCAGAACCATTGGACAGTTTCATTGATAAATTGTACTCACTGATGAGAGTTCTATAAAATATTATTTAAAGATATTTTTGAAACAAGTCATTTATAATAGAATAATTTATAATTTTATTTTTATTTGTTTATTTATTTAGATTTATGGGTGCTGGAGGATGGAATCTCATACATATGTGGCTTACAGATGGTATTCTTGCAAAAAATTGGGCTTTAATTCAAGAACTTCTAGAACTTTTATTATTATGCCCAGTAGATATAGAAAGATTAAAAAGCAACAATTGTCCAAAATTAATAAAAGGTCTATCAAAAGAAGGTAGTCATCAAGGTGTTAGAGTGTTAGCTAGTCGATTAGTTGAACAATGGTTAAAAATAGTGAAAGGGGAAGCTGCACCAAATTCTGTACCAGCACAAATCATGACTATTCCAGTACAAACTACAGGAATTCTGGGACAAAGTTTGGTATCTCAGTCAGCACAACAGCAACAGTATTCAATTCATTGTGGTATCCAACAAGTCCCAGAGGGTACAGAAAATGCAACAGTTCAAGTGCAAGATTTACAATTTATTTCAAATTCCACATCAACTATTGCAGTATCTCACATTCATCATCATCAGCAGCAACAGCAGCAGCAGCAGCAACAACAACAACAACAACAATTATCACCACCACCACCACCACCACCACCACCACCACCACCACCACAAGAACAACAACAGGTACAAGAGAGAACAACTGTGCAACCTTTACAATTGCAAGTTGTTAGTAAACCACAACAGATGCAGATACAACAACATTTATCATCACAATCAAAAAAACCTGCCTTTGTTGTGGTATCTACATCTTCACAATCTCCAGTTCCTGTGTATAAAATTACAATTCGTGAAGGTAAACAAATTCTTACAAAAGTGGAGACAGATGCTTCTAATATTAATAGTGTTTTAAATACAAATAGTACAAATGTAGATGTTAATGGAGATATTGTGGAGAATACTCTTCCTGTGAAACAAACTCCTGAGGAAGTAGCATCTACAGAACTTAGTGATGGTGTAGTTAGTGGTCAAGATTGTGAAAAAAACATTGCACAATCTGAAAAATTAGACCAAGTTTCAAGTGAAGTGAAACAAACTATTGTAGATTCCACAGATAGTCCTGATGTGGAACTTATTAAAAATAAAGAAAGCAAAGACATTAAAGATCTTAAAGACAATACTAATAGTGAAAGTAGTAAATCTAGTAATAAAGAAAATCGAGACTCTTCTAAAAAAGATGACAAAAAATCTAGTTCAGATAAGAAAGGTCATCATAGTTCATCTTCATCCTCCAAAAGTTCTTCTAAACATACTTCAAGTTCCAGTTCACATCGTTCTAGTTCCACATCTTATAAATCTAGTAGTCATCGCTCTAGTTCTAGTAGTAGTTCAAAAAGTTCTAATTCCAAGGATAAGTCTTCCAAGGACAAAGAAAAACATCATTCATCTAATTCATCTAGTAAACATAATTCTAGTAAAAGTAAATCTGATAAAGAACGGGAAAAGGAAAAACAGAAGAAAGATCAAGCAGAAAAAGATAAAGCAACATTAGAAAAGATTCAAGGACAAGCATTAAGTTCGAAATTCGGAAAAATACCCAAAAAGAAGTCGGAAGAGGAAAAATTAGGCGATGCAACTGTAAGAAAATCATCAACAGACTCTCGGGATAGTTCTAAAGAAAATAAGACTGATTCAAAGAAAGTTGTTGCAGTACCAGAAAAGAAGAACATTTCTATTTCCATTGAGAGTAGAAAAAATTCTCAAGATTCTACAATGCGGCCAAAGACTGTGAAAACATTTAACTCTAAATTCAGATCAACGGGTTTGGAGGAAGAAGTAAAACCTCCACCACCAAGATCAGCAAAAAAATTACATCCCATCATTGATAAAAAAGTCATGCCACAAAAATTACCTGCCTTGAAAAGACCATCCCCACTTCGAGAATCTATTTCATCAACAGATAAACGAACTAAATTATCATTGGAATCACCAACTACACCTCCGAGTGAAGAAAAAAAGGGAGGCATCAAATTAATACCACCAAAACCAAAACGTAAGTATTACATAGTATCTCAAATACTATATTTAATTTTGTACTAAATTTTTTTTGAAATATTGAAATATAATGTGTATATTTATTTTTTTTTATAACAAATTCAATTTGAATTCTTTAGGGAGAAAATATATATACTGTCTTAAACTTTTATAAAATACTAATGTTCAAAGATTAGATATGTAATTAAAACTTAAACTATACATTTATATTTCATAAATATATTATTTTTAAAGAATTTTAGCATTTATCAGAGTATTTATCACTATCTCTCATTGAGTAAGAATAATTTAAAATTGATTATAGTTAATATTATATTAAATTAATTTATGATTATGTTTTTATATAATTTTTATAATTAATTTATTTTGTATTATCTTTTTAATTTTTTTAATTTCCGTTTTATTCTTAAGATATAAAGAGATATAAAAAATATTAAATATTATAATAAAATTATTAAGTCAAAAATTTATATATGTATGTATACACATGATAATTTTTGATAAAAAAATAAGAGTTTAAAAATAATAATTTTTTTTTAAAATAAAAATTTATTTAATAAATAAAAATTTCATTTTATTAATTTCAACTGGTCTTTGAACACTAGTTTTTTTAATTATACAAGCAATTACTAACTTCTTAATATTGAGTTTACAGGTGATTGGCTCCAGGAGAAATACGAACAAACTGTATACCTTACACATTACGTGAACATTATTATTTTATTTAATTCGATAAAATTTGCATAGATTTTTTATTTCATTAATCTACGGTTTTTTTCAGGCATATTATTTTAGTTTATAGTATATATTAAAACCCTATATTACTTTCCTAAAAGTTATTAAGAATATTATAGAAGTTAAAAGAAAATCTATATCAATTGACCCACGTGGAAATGGATCGAGCGGATCTTATGCTTGCCTCGATAATTAACGTCATATTAGAAGAATGAAGAACATTAGGATTGGCTCTTTCAGCATCGATTTATTCCTATATTAAGAAGATTCAGCAGGTAATCTTCGATAAAGTATTAATTAAATCGTATGTATAAAATGTCTTAAAATTAGTGCTATATGGTAAAAAATAGAGTCGAATATTTTTAACAATTAATAATTGAAAGTAACCGTGCAGTTTCTTTTAAAAATTACTCGGATAAAGAAAAGGTGTGTTTTATATCGATATAATTTTCGGGGTGTGTGTTTTACCGTTCTTCGTCGAACGATACACCTGATAGAAGTCACCATGGATGTTACTAATCTACTTAGGTAAGGAAACAAACCAACTCTTGTCTGTCCATACTTCTTCCCTTGTACATGTACACCCTATAAGCATTTAAATAAATTGATCAGAAATCTGGAAATATTTAACTCTTGGGTTTCTGCTATACATCTTGCTCACTGAATGTTTGATAAAGCAAACACTCATATCGTGAGTCCATCCAGATTTCCATCCTCTCGGTGACTAATCGCACAAGTCTAAAGTGCAAATAAAATTAGAACTCTTGAAATGGTATCGCATATCAATAATTTTTAAATAATAATATTATAAAGGTAAAATATTTAAAAGATGAGTTTTATTTTTACTAAAAAATTATGAAGATTTCGGATTCTAAAGAATATAATAATGTAGATATTCAAGCTTATTTGTAAAATCATTTTTAGTTTTTAATATTTAGTAATCCTTGTATGTATTTGTATTATGTTTGAAAAATTATTATATATCTTTTTCATTTAATATTGTAATACCATTTCGAGTGTTACAAGGGAAAAAATTCTTCTCAGTAATGTTATTTTTCAATTTTGTATCATTGTTTAGTTCACAGTGGATTTGCAGAATGATTCGAATATGTTCGTGCGTTCATCAGAGAGAATTGAAATTTGCAATGGGCACACAGTCCCAAGATATCCTTATGAAAATGAGAAAGAATAAGAGTGTGTGTGTGTGTGAGAGAGAGAGAGAGAGGAGAGAGAGAAGAGAGAAAGAATACATAAACAAGTGTGAAAGAGCAAGAGCAAGAGGAGGGAGATTGAAAGAATGAAATGGAAAGTACGAAAGAATAAATAGTATGTATGAATGAATAGATGAAAGTGAGAAAAATATGGCACGACATTCAAAGAAAGTTGATTTAAAAAAA